ATCAGCCATTTCAGCATTCGTAAAGTCGGGCATGGTACCAAAAAATCACTTTATAAACTCCGAACTGTGAATTTGTCAATAGTTAAAAATGATGATGATGATAGCTGGTCGTGCTGTCATCATCAAGCACGACAGCTGTTGAAAGCGCTCGCATATAATTGAATAGAAGTTATAAAGCTTCAAAACCGTTTTGTAACTTATATTAATATTGAAATACTGAAAATAACGGAAAATTAGTCGCATCATTCAAAAAAATTCAAAATAGCTGCGGCGATGGACTTGTTGCATGCTTGTTATTGATGAATCGTATTATATTATATTAATAAACTTACCCTTCGTTAAGAGACTCTGTAATGTTCCGAGGATCATCTTCTGCTTGTTCATCAAATTTTTTATAATTAATTTCAAAAGCGGTGATAGTTTTAGATTATATCCTCACTATCAACAGTATGTCTATCGCACGCGAAAGGAGAGAGAAGCATCTTTCCGAAATACGGCTACCGTTGTGGGTTAGAGTGAGAAAGGAACAGCCTGCCTGCCGCTGCCGTATGCGTGAGAGAAAGGAAAGCTAGACAGACTGGCGCCATAACGAATTACGTAACGAAGCGGTTTACCCTCCCATTAGAATAAATCGCGGAAAAACGGGCTCATTTGAAAAAAAGGAAGTGGTGTTACATCAAGATAATTCACCGTGACACAAATCAATGTAAACGGTGGCAAAATTACACGACTTGGGCTTTGAATTGCTTTCGCATCCACCGTATTCTCTAGATCTGGCCACCAGCGACGTTTTTGTTCTCAGACCTCAAGAGAAAGCTCGCTGGAAAAGTAAATTGCGAAACTGAGGCCTATTTTGAGACAAAAGACAAATCTTACTATAAAAATGATCGCTATGATCGTTGTATCGCCTCGAAGTCAACTATATTGAATAATAAAATCAAATTTTACAAAAAAAATCTATGTTAGCCTCCGAACTTTTCAATCCAATTGATGTACTTGGAAATTAGTTGTCACAAATATGGTCGTGTTCTAGCTACGCTGGTCTTCACTGCGTCGTCATCAAAGGTTACTCAAAATCCGCAGGATACCAACCCGGCGTGCGGTTTGAAGACAACCGGTTCAGAAACTCCTGGAACGCAGTTTATGTAGCAGGAGCCTGGCGATTCGTTCAATGCAACTGGGGAGCAAGGCATCTGGTCAATGCCAAGGAAGCCCCTAAGGCCGGTAACAAAGCAAAATCGGACAGTTTGAGGTAATTTCTCAACGACGACATAGATCAAGATAGTAGGTTGAAACGTTTATCATTGCAGGTACGAATACGATGACCATTACTTCCTCACCGATCCCAAAGAGTTCATCTACGAATTCTTCCCTCTACAGTCGGACTGGCAGCTTCTGAAGACCCCGATTACCTTACAGGAGTTCGAGGAACTTCCCTTCGTTAGATCGTTGTTTTTCCGATACGGGCTCTACTTCTCCGATCAGAATACCAAGGCTGTCATGTTCACGGATTCAACAGGTAGCGGTCCGTTGACTATACATATACTATTGAAAATTCAGTGATCAACTATTATTGGAACGCTTACGAGTCATTTATTTTAGGTGCAGCAACTGTGAGGATAGCGATGCCAAACCACATGCAAGGAAGTCTTATTTTCCACTACAACCTCAAATTTTACGACAGTGACGGTGACAGCTACGACGGGGTATCTCTTAAGAGATTCGTGATGCAGGTGAGAAATGGTCTGAACTAAGTTTGAATGAGACAAGAAATATCAAAGACAAAGCTTATATATTAACGTGGAATCTTTGATTGTTCAACTCATGAACAATTTTAGGTCATACCTGACACCAATTACGGTTTACACATCCCACTCCTGACACCAAATCCACGATGTTCCTTGTAGGAAATGCAGAAGTATATGCATGTCATTTTACTTTTTTTGGATCACCTCAAACTATTGACAATTCTATAATCTTTTACACTTCAGCGAATGGTTGCTTTAGGCAACCATGGGTTCGTTAAAAATTATTATTCATGGAATCAAATTTAAGATTTTCCTCAATGAAGATTCCTAAAAATTAGATTTGCTCCAAATTTTCAATTTTAACATTTTCCAATTGTACTTCCCCTAGTTACATCTAAACGTAAACACATTTGTTTTGTCGATATTGAATGATAAAAGATTGTAATCACACCACTCTTTAACCCTTCTTATGTCCACGATGATTTTATCAAGTAAATTTGAGGCGGTATTGCTATGCCAGAGGATAGTGGTGTCGTCAGCGAAACAAGTGAACTTACCATTTATATCAACATGGACTAAGTCATTGACATAAATGAGAAGAACACCGGTCCCAAAACGGAACCTTATGGGACCCCACTGCCAATGAAATGTTCCTCTGATGAAATTCCATCTAATAGAACATTCTGCCGCCGATGAGAAAGATACGTCTCAAACCAAAGTAATGTAGTTCCTCTGAATCCATAAACTTCTGGCTTGCGAAGAAGTAGCATGGTCGCCGCAGATTCTCTTTCATTAAGATAGGTGCACAGGTTTTTCAGGAGTGAAAGTATACCGTCTTGTGTATCTTTTGAAGACTAACAGCCAAACAATAGATATCCGTAGATGTGAAAAAGAAAGTAGAAGGTACTGCAATATTCTTCAAGTATGACATCGAGTCGTTTTTCACAACGATTTTTTTCAGCCAGTTCAGTTGCCTCATATGAGTTAAGAGTTGTTTCTTATGACTCGGTCAATCTAACAGATTTCTACACATCTACTGCACATCTTGAGGGAGGGGCGTCTCACCGGCCATGACTCGGTCCGGCAGCTGTACTATGGATCAGCTCTCA